CGCATGTGGAGGAGCTGGAGTGCATCAAGGACTTGAGCAAGGCATGGACTCCTGCGGATTTGCAGCTCACGGCAGTATCTTCGACATGTCAATCTGGATTAGGATTGTGAAGATGACTGGTGGGTTCTTNAAAAAAAAGTTGCTTTTCGGTGGAAGAGTATCTTGCTTTGGGGCTGTGGCATCTCCCTGCAGAAGGAAAGTCAGATGAAAACAGATTTACCAGAAATTAGCCCTGTTATTAAGCTGGGCTGTGCACCAGATGTAATGCTAATTAGAAGAAATACTGCCAAGGGGAGAGTGGATTACTAATATCCCCCAGGCACCATACATTAGAAGTGAAAACCTCTGTTGCATGATATGAATTTTTATATGCTTCGAATCAGAAGAACTCCTATCATTGCTCCATTATTGACAGCACAGCATGTATCTGCTTCTAACCAAGTCAATTTAAAAACTGCTCCTGAGGTAAGGGTAAACTGAATGGTATAGAGGAGCTGAAATGAAGCTTGGCTTTCCATATTCATACACACTATAATTATTGTACTATTAGTGGAACTAACTAACGTTTATTATAATTAAACTACAGCTGAATTTGAATAATACAATTAAGTGATATATTAAATTGATAATTCTTAGTATAAGTTTATTATGTGGCTAGATTGCAGCGTGAAGACCAAGCTGCAGTAAAAGACAGCAATACTGAAACCATGCCTTGGAGGGAATAAAGAGAATATTAATACAGTGTAATCTGTGGTTACAGGCTGACATTGCTGCACACTAGAGGGCATGATTTTTATGTTTTAAACATTGCAAAAACAAGTTTATTTCAATGTTGTTACTGTACAAATCTCTTTAACTCTCTCCAGACTACAGTGGCATTTTGAATATTCGAACAGTTGGAATACACTGATATTTAGTTTTGTGCACTTGTGGCATAATTAATAATAAAATGCATTTACTTTTGAAAATGCATCGCTGAAAAACAGTAGTAAAGCCACAATCCGCTTTCAGTCCTTGGAGTTATTTACACACGTACTCTCAACACCCAGTCAGTTTGAGTTAGACACTTTGAAAAACAGCATAATATAAGTTAATAATATACTCACTGAAGCCGATCAGAGAAATTCACAAAATTTGGTCACCTGATCTGGCTAATGATTATTAATAATAATGATGATGGGGAGGATGTGATAAATAATGGGCCTTAGATTCCACCTCATCTTATCATGTAATTGAATGTTGTCTTACAATATAAACTGGCACAGAAGTGTGGAAAATTTGAAAAAAAACAAGACTTAATTTGGAAGTTGGTTTCACACAGTTCTTGAAAAAAGCATTGTTATTCAAATTAAGACAAATTTAAAATGCTCCACAATTCTGCGCTGTCTTAGGTTTTACAATAAAATCACTAAGATTAAGTGGAGTTTCAAGCTGAATGTTTTGTTTGATTTTTTTTCTCAGTCTTGTTAATAATAATACTGTACTTGCATTTATGGTACAATACCGATTTGCATGTATAGTGTGTATCACATCAGGAGGAATTTCCAAGGCCCTGGACATTTGATATAGCATCTTATCACACTGTTAAAACATCTCAAATTGCTTCACAAGATTTATTGTAAAGTGTAGAGTTTGAGCAAACAAAGCAGCCAATTTGCGCACGGCAATGTGCTATTGAAATGAATGAGCAATTGTATTTGAAGCATTGTTGGCCAGGACACCAGGAGAAATTCCTTTCTCTCTGAATAGCCACTTCTCTCTGAATAATGCCACAATCTTTATCATCCATCTGAACAAGCAGATAGGACCTTGGTTTAACATTTCAACCGAAGGATGGCATGTTTGACAACACAGCGCTTCCCCAGTACTGCACTAGAGTGTTAGCCTTGGGTTCAAAGTCCCAAAGTGAGTCAGGTTGACTGCTCTCTCTGATTGACTCGCTAATTTACAGAACAGGAGTGGATGTATAATAGAGATGGAGGAAATGGAAAAGAGCTTTCATTCTTTCCTGCTTAATGACTGGCTTTTGGGAAGTATGATTTTTCCAGATTTTACCTTCAATTTAATCCAGTAATTTTTCCACAAGGTTTGCTGTGACAAATCACTATCATTAATGGTAGGGGTCCATCAATTGATTTATTTGGACAATAGATGATAGTGTGTGTTGAGCAGGATTTTATAAACAAACATTTGAAATAGTTACTGGTTCAGTGAATCAGCAAGTACTGTTTATCTGCTTATAAAGGAGTGCAGTTCGCTAGAGTTACTGGACCATCTGGAAAATGAGCTATTTTTAAAAATCCACAATCACCAATTGCCCTGGACACCAATATTCCTAGATGGTCTGACTTTTTTTTAACATGGTACTTAGCAGGTCAGGCCATTAAATGGCCCAAGCTTCCTGGAGGTTTCTCTCTTGCAATGTTTCATCCCACTGGAGTTTTTTATAATTACCTTTTGATGTCTGTTTGAATTGCCTAGGGATTGTTCTGTCTCAATGCTGAGGTTTTGACGCAGATGAAGTTAGTGTGGAGAATGTGTTGCCAAAACAACATATTTACTTCCTCGCCTTTCACAGGACTATCTGAACGAGAATCATGTGCTAAACACTTGCTCTGCAGCTGTCAGTTCTTATCAGATCAACTCAAAAGGAGCATTCATGGGAAACTGGAACTTGTCTTCCCAAAGGCTTTTCCTCCCTGTGCTGTGTACTATTTGCAGCAAAGAGGTGAATGGTCAACGTGATTCTAAATCCCATGCATTGCTTCCCTTGGTGCAGTCTGGGAGTAAATACTAATAATAATACTTGCATTTCACGGAATATACTGTAAAGTAAATTGACTATATTTTGTGGGTGAAATTTTGATTAGGTGACTCAAGGTGGCTTTAGAAACTTAATTTTGAAGTAACTCACATGGGCTTTCTCTATTTTATTAGTTTATGGCAGTTTTGTATTTCTTAATACCATTTTCTTACCTTTTCACTATTTACCTTTTAAATATCCTTACTTCCCATGAATGCATCTATCACCCTCTTAAGCACTTCAATTAGTCTTCTGGAGCAATGCATTCTCCAGTGTAATATCCCTTTCCCATCTGAGAAATGCCTGGTGTCTTCAATATCTGCAGTATGGCAGAGCTAAGGTCTGGAATTATACATGTGAAATATGATAAGCCTGAACTTGGATTTCCCCATTCTGTAACTGTGTTGGGCTCAGTAAGAGGCACAGTTCTGGTTGGACTGTTTAAAAAGGCACATGTGCCAATTAAGACTTCAGATTTGTTTTGTTATGGTTCTGGCTGTTACCCTTATAATACAAATCCTAGCTTCAATTGTCGTGCATAAAACTGAAAGAGCTGGTATGTTCTTTTCTGTCCCCCGGAGGTGATCCCTGATGGGATCCAACAGTGATGTTAGCTGAGCATTTCCGAGCTCTTGAAATGTCAATCTGTAGGTGGTTACAGAGCTTTCATTTATTTCAGGATTATTCAGATTGAATTTAGAGACCTGGAAGATATCAAGAGTAGATACATTTACCATCAGTAAAGTTCACTTACTGCAAATGTTTTAATTTCTAATACAAAAATAGATGTAAACTAATAGTTTTGGGTGTGAAATTTCTGAGTTGGTAAATCTTTCTGATTCCCTTTGCACGCATCACTTTAATCCATTGAGGGAGGCGCTCAAAGTCCTTACGTGGAGCTTGAACCCACAATCTTCCTACTTTGAGGCGAGGGTACCACCAACTGCCAACCAGTATATAATACAGTAAAATTCACATAATTTGTATCAGTCGGGACCATAACATTTAATATGACTTATGCAAAATCTGAGTTCCAAGCAACAGTACGTCGGATAAAATCCGAATTAATCAATCTAGTTAAGCATGTGTTTTTTTAAAAAAAAAGTTTAATAAGGTGCAATCAGTGTAGATTGTAGCATCAGTACTTTCTTGAAATAACTATTACCAACAAGTTTTATTGCTGCAATATTTAAAAAATAATTCTAAAGCACAGTACTAAAACTAACAAGCGTACAAATTGATTCCAGAAAGCACTACATTTTATATCTGTTACTGAGAGCTGATAAAGACCTTCAGTTTTTCTGCTTTCTAATATATGCTGCAATGACCCCCAAATTCAAGAATAGATTATTTCAGGTGAATTATTTCTGGGTGATTTTGTGCCAGATGAGAGAATTGGCCCATTGGTTACAGGCCTCAGATATGAGACAATCCCGTCAAAGGTTGATTGCTGAACTGACCATCTTATCTCCTCATTACAATTCTGGAACTCAGGTGGCAGCATCATTCGGTAGTGCTTGTCAGTCAATTAAACAAAAATACCTTTTGTCCCAGTATTGTTTGTACCGAGACCAGGGTGGTCCAACTGGAGTATAGGAGTGTACAATAATATTTGTAATATGATTATAAACATTACCTCTGTTGAGCAGAAGTAATGCTTAATATTATTAACTTTTAATTTTTTAAACAATATAGAAATAATACAAAACAATAACATTTACATAGCATCTTTCACAACAGGAGGACATCCCAAGGTGGTTAAATATCATAGTAATAAAGTTGCGCTTGTCATTTATGAAAAGTACTCTATAAATGCAAGTTATTTGTTTTTATAATACTTTATTACAACATATGTATGAACTAAAAAAAGGTAAAAAAAAATGAACAGTACAGGAAGCCTGGAATTTCCCTGTTGCCACTGGAAGTCTAAGTGTTAATGCGGAAGCATCTAATAATGTCGTTAGTTACTTTGACTCCCCAAGAACAGATCCTAGCCTGAAGTGAAAGGGTGCATTGTCATTTATATTCACTATATTGTAATAACGTTCCAGAACTTTCTTCAAGAAGATTCAAAAATATCTATTTTGGTTTTGCTAATGTCACTTTGTAAAATTGTTGTAAATGATTGTTGCAATCCCTAATAAATAAAATAATTTTAACTTTTTCTGTCATTCTAAAGTACTTTTTTTTCTTTCAGGCCATGTGGTTTAGTACTCCAGCTCATAGTGAAATATTAAATCTTGATAGTGGAAATATTGATGACATCTTAGGTAAGTGCTCTTTCAAAATTATGTAGCTTTTACTTCAACTTTAGAATAGGAGGCAGGCTTGTAGATGCTTAAACTTTGGTCTTATAAGTCATTGGCTGAATTACTCAAAATCTGCAATTTTGCAAAGTGAGTGACCAAACATCCCAACACTTCAGCAAGTATGTTACTTCAGCAAATCTCTTTCCACAGTGTCATGCTTGGATTGAAACTTTCTTTGCCTTTTTTTTGTATTTCCCTCCATCCAATCCAAAGTAATAGGGTGTAGTCACCATGCGCACAGAAAGCTGTCTCACCTCCAGCTGCCTTTACACATGATAAAAACATGTTCAATTTCTTGGTCACCAAATCATGCTGAAGTCCATTCCTGTGTCTGATGTTGGCAGCAATAAAAAGTTGGAAGCGAGCTGGTCAGCTTTCTATGTGCACTTGTCTTAAGCTTGAATGAGACTTTCTCGTATTTTCTTTTACTAGATTGTTAAATGGCGTGCTAATTTCACCAGTCGTGTTGTGATTGGAATCAGTAAGATCATGTTCTTAAGGAGATCTTGCTCAGTGTTACAATTTTTTTAATTTAAAAAAATCAAGGCATTATGCGTTTGTCGTGTATGCGTGTTTAAAGAAAATCCCCAGAGGTCAACAATAATGGCTCCATTGTGTCTTCCAGAGAGTTGAAGTCTTCCAAACTGTTCATACTCTGGTATGAACATGCTTGGATTAAGATGTTCCTTGGTCATTGTCACAGACACTGGTGATATTTTTTCTCACCTCAAATTGAATGAGTAATTTGAAGCTTCCCAAAACTCAGATCAATGATTCTTTAAGTTCAGTCATCTGCTATGAGGAATTTTCCAAAATAATGTAGTTTATTTGGCGAACATCACAAGAGTTCAAAACAGCAGGTTGGAACATTATAGAATGAACCTAGAAAGAGAAGAGATCTGCCTGATTGTTTTTGTTTCCTGTACAATTATTTTCTTTAATTGCAAAAGTATCTGGTTAATACATTGCTGATATTTCTCTTCTTATTTTGTCCTAAGCCAGGCAATCTAAACCTTGAGATTGCCACATTGTGGTCAGATCACTGAAGGAGCACAGGTGCAATATTATTAGACCACAATATTGAAATGTTTTGTTCCCATTTGTGAAGAATTCAGACACTTTATTCAAGACAAGAACGTTCGTTAGATACCGACCACGGTGGTTAGATACAGCACTGATGTGCTGCACCATTAAATATTATAATAATAATATAATATTAGATCCTTTGCAATTTCCACATGGCTTGTTCATGTTTGCACAAGACACATTTATGCGAGAGCAGTTTCCAACTTATAGTTAATTAGATAATTTTTTACAGTACAACTTTAAATTGGTGTCCATCTATATAATTTAGATTTCGTATTGCTTTAATAAAAGTAGTACTTTAACTCCATGTTTAATCTAATCAAGCATGCAAAATTATGCTTTTGAGTTTGTATTCATCTTAAATCTATGTAAATGTAATTTTTTTTTCTTCCAGGCAATGCAGATGTTGCACTAGTCAATTTCTACGCTGACTGGTAAGTACATATAAAAGCTGCATTTCTAACCCTGCATGATTACCCGTAAAAGCTTCTGAAATTGACTTAGCTAATACCCCTTACTATAATAATAATAATCCTTGCATTTGATATAGCGCTTTTCATGTCTTCCCGACGTCTCAAAGAGCTTCACAGAATATGCTGTAAAGTGAACTGACTATATATTTGTGGGTGAAACAAGGCAGCTAATTGCACACAGCAATGTCCCACAAACAGTCGTGGATTGAAAATGACCAATTTATTATTGTTTTTGGTTTTGGAGGGATTAATATTAGGCATGTGGAGTAAGGAAACTTGCCCAAGGTTTCGTCCTGCCTGGAATTGAACCCAGGTGTTTCGCTTGCAAGGCGAGTGCTCTAACCACTGAGCTACAGGACTCCATCCGGGTTGAAAGGGCTTGGATATAATAAGAGGCTTGGTAGACTGGGATTATATTCCTTGGAGCAAAGGAGGTTAAAAGATGATTTGATTGAGGTGCTTAAAATAATGATTTTGGGCTTGGTATCTGTCTTGTCTTGGCTCTACCAAGGGAAAGAATTGGTCATTATCTAAATGTGTGGGCAACTATTTCCCTTGATAGAACTGAGGTCAGAAAGCATTTCTTCACATAGAATTTTATAAAAATGTAGAATATTCTGCCCCAGAAGGCTGTAGAAGGGGGAATTGATAGAAACGTTTAAAACCATGACAGATATTTGGATTGTAGAGGTGTAAAAGGGTATGGTGAAAGGGCAGGGCAATGGGATTAAAAGATCTGCCTATTTCTAATAAAAGTGGTGGTTCAGTCAACTAAATGGCCTTCTCCTGTTCCTATGTTTGGGTAATCTCTCAGCTAGTTACTGGTGAACCTGGATCAACTGCACAAAACTGCTGAGCAAGCCGTAAGTCCTATAAGATGACAGAAATATTGACATTGGTGTACCTAGCATGGGAGTGTTTGATTTCCCAATACTGATGCAGTAGAATGTATACAACTCAAAGAAGGGTCAGACAGTACTATTGAAAAAACGATGTCACGGCAGTAACACCTCAGGAATGTAGCCACATAAAAGTTGATGGTTGTTATCGAATACTCTCCTGATTTAAAAAAATGATTGTGACATGTGAAAATACTGTATGCCCTTGAATGAGTCACTGTTTCGGGAAGAAGAGAGGTGAATTGCAAATGGAAATGTAATAACTGGAATTGTATAATACCAGTCTCATGAACAGTGCAGCAGTCAGTTTTTTTTATAAATGTGATGAGTTTGGTATCTACTTTGTAAAAGTGTTAAGATCGTCATTGGAAGGATTGGTTTTCAATCCATCTTAGCTTTTTCTCAGTTTAGTGCTTTTGATCCGGTTTGGTTATATTGACTGATCACAAAACCATTAAAAAAAACTGAAGTAAATTGTAAACCATTTTTTCTGCAAATCAATAGAAACTTATTCTTGTTAACAATGTGCATATAATGTGGTTTGGATGTCCGTGTTTAGAATAATACTTTGCATTAAGTTATTGCACACTAAATTTGATTATAAACACACACTAAATTGTAATACAAACTTTGTTTTTCATGCTATTTGATTTAAATCTTAACAGTCATAGACTGCTATCATCAATAGTAAGTGAAACATGTGATTGAATACCATTTGCCAGCATTGTAACTACTTTAGTGTTGTACACGTGGACAAATGGAAGTTTGAAAGAAATGAGCAAGTGTCCTTGTCAGTATTGACTACTAACTTAAACTCTTTTTCATCCTTTGAATGCTGTAGCATGCGTGTTCAAATACTGCAGTAGTGTGGAGAAACTGGATTAACATACCTGTGGTGTGGGTCAGATCAAATCCCTTCAAACCAGAATATCTGATATTAGCACTCTTTTCAAACAAATATTTGAGAGGGCAGAATAATATTACAAGGAAATAAAATAGTTAAAAGCAGTAGTTGAGATCCATAAAGGTGTCAACATGTCTCAGTTAGTAGCACATTCATTTGAGTCACAAGGTTGGGGGTTCAAGCACTCAAAATGGGACTTGGAACCATATAGTTTATGCTGAAGCTTCAGTGTAGTGCTGGGGCTACGCTGCATTGTCAGAGATGCTGTCCTTCGGATGAAATATTAAATCGAGGTCCTGTCTGCCTGTCCAGGTGGCTGTTGAAGATCCCAGGGTAATCATTGAAAAGAAAAAGGAGTTTTTCCTGTTGTCCTGGCCAACAATTCCGCAGATAAAATTGATCTCTTATTTGATGGCTTTTGAGAGACTGCTGTGTTCGTCCACGCACCATTTCCTGTAAAGAGTATATCCTGTAAAGAGCTTTGAGACATCTCATTGATGTGATAAGCTGCTATATCAAATGCAAGTATTATTATAAACTACAGTGTCATAAAATTTCAACCAGCTTTATAACAGCAATGAAATGGTGCAAATGAGAAATGTTGGAAAGACGGGAAGTGGGAAAACTAGTCAACCTAGACCATGTGAGTTCGAAGTCCCAATGTGTGGCTTTGTGAAGGTGAAGATTTTAGATTATGTGAAGGTTTTAAGGGTAGCTTGAAATTCCTAAGCAATTTTTTTTTATTATTGTGCAGCACTATACAATACAGAACAACCTGCTCACATCCCCTTTCAACCTGCCTCCTTTGCTTGGCTAGCTTAGGCCTTCTGCGTATCCCTTGACCTCTTTGCTCCACCATTGGTGACCGTGCCTTAAGCCACTATGCCCTGAACCTCTAGAAATCTCCATATCAATCCCTCTGCCTTTACCTCTCTTTGCCCGCCTTCAGATCGCACTTGAATACTTTCCTCTAGGACAGCGACTACAGTTCCTTCCCCTGTCTCCAAGGCTCAGCATCAATTTCTCAGCATTCCCAGACAACTCTATATAAATGCAAATTGTTGTTAATATTCTATAAACATTTTATACCTACTCTCACTTTTTTTGACAGGTGCAGATTCAGTCAAATGTTGCATCCCATCTTTGAAGAGGCTTCCACAATTGTGAAAGATGAATATCCAGATGCAAAGCAAGTGGTTTTTGCAAGGGTTGATTGTGACCAGCATGGTGAGTAAGCAGGTTTCAAATATATTTAGACTCATGGGCTTGAGAACACAAAGGAAAAGCTAACACTAATTCTGGTGGCACAGCTCATTGGTGCACTTATAGTCAATTTACTGTCAAAGATTATCTAGATTTGACTTGCTTTAGTCTGATCACTTGTAGCTAAAGTGCAAATTTTACAAGCTTTGCTTTGTTGCATTTGCATTGCACACTGTACAGCAAACTGAGGCATGCTACAAATAATGGTGAGAAATAGTGTAATAAGGAGGTTTTCAGAAATTGCAATACCCAGGTAAAATTGGCCATTCACTTCATTGTTGTTTGTGTAAACTTGCTGCCATGTTGGCCTACAAAACCCCCTGTGCTTGCACTTTAAAATGAATCCGGTGAAGTGTTCTGAGGTGTCCTGATGACATGAAAGGCAATTATTATTATGTATACCTCTAAAAGTCTCACTGGTAAGCTAGACAAGATTTTGACCATAAATTGTGCCTTGAATGACAGCCTTAGCTGTCTGCTTTTGCCAGGATTATCCTTAGAGACGTTGACCCTGTATACTCGTTACATTCCTATTATATCTTTTCAATGTGAAATGGAAGAAAATCTTATTTGGTATTTAAAATGTAATTTGGGTATGTCCTCGCCTTGATCCGAGGTACATCCGGCCATTTCCCTCTGTACGAGTCGCAAATTCCATCAAGTTCCATATGTGCTTTTACCAAGGCTTTAATGGTACTTCAGCTGCTATTTTAAATGAACAATAGCAGTTAGTCTTACCAATTAAATTCATCCTTCCAGTATGGGATCTAATTTTGGTGCAATCTTGTGATGGATTGGAAGCAGTCATGACATGTGAAATTAACTTTCTCTTGTGTTCCTGAGAAATCGGAAAAATTAACAAGCTTTCTGCTGCAGTTAAATTTTCCTATTTACTCAATTCGTTTAAGGATCATGTTTTATCCTCCCTCTTAAATTCCTCCTAAACGTTATGACTTTCTATATTTTTCCGTAATTCCTATCCTTGTCTCACCCACTTAGCATCAACTCCATTTGGGGGGAGGGTTAAAGGAGGTGCACGTATTTGGTGGTACAATGGCAGATGTCTCCCCATATGTGTCTTGTGGTCTTTGAAACTCAAATGTTTGGAGAAAGTGTATTGGGATATCTTAAGTTGACAGATGCTCCCTAGCATAATGCATGTTCTAGCAACCCTGATTTCAGCAAGTGGTTGCATTTGAATTCCTGCACACAGGGACAGGATTTCTCTGTGTAGATATTTTAGATAAATATCAGCTGTTGAAGCATTGTCTTTCTGACATATGCAGGGAGGCATGTCTTACGTGCCAGCAATCTGCACAGCTTGAATCATGTTCTGTAGAAGACTGAAGGTCTTTTTCAAATTAGAGCCTGGAAATTGTGCTCAGAATTTTGACATTTTCGTCCGATTTCAGCATTTCCTTTTCAGCCCTCCATTTATTTTGTGTACAGTATTTTAAATGCACTGGGGCAATGCATGTATTGTTCTAAAATTATCTAGTGATGGTTGAAGATTGCCATGTCTTCTGGCAATGGACCACAACCTTTTAAATTCCAGATTACATTTTGTTCTTATAATCGTTGCATTTGATATGCACTTTTCATATCAGGAAGATTTCTTTAACATCACAAGATAGGCTGTAAAATATAGTTACTATTTATTTTGTAGGCGAATATCGCAGGTAGATGGAGCTCTCATTGGTAATCATATTACAGACCTTGGATAAACAGACCTCTCGTTCAATTTATAGCAAAGTGGACACACAGGTCTTCAACTGAGAATTTCTCCTCTTGGAGCACTGAGTTTTCTTCCAGTGGCTTGGGATGTCCTCCCGACATGACATCAAAGGTGCTATATAAATGCAAGTTGTTGTTGTTGTTTCTTGAAATCGTCCAGCGTTCTCTAAGAATCCTTGGCTGGTGTTAATTCTGGCTGCCAATATTGCAGCCTTTCTTGTATTTGAGAACGAGTTCCACAAAGGAAGGAAAGAGCCAGCAACATAAATTGTGGTTCCAGAAATCTAGAGCATTTTGTGTGGTTCTCAGCTTCAAGTCCATTGGTCATGTGGCTCGATGCTTTTATGCAGATTAGCTTTCAGATTTTCCTACGTAAGTCAAAAGTAACTTGTCATGCATGTGCTGTGATTTAAAAATGTTCAAAATAATAAACTGCTATATAAAATATAAATTATTATTGCTTCATTGCCTTGTTGTCTCATCAGTGCATCAGTCATCACAAGAACATTTTTTCTTGAAATGTAAGTTTGAAGTCCACTAAACCCCTGACTAATGAGGGGGGAGAGATACGGTCCGCAAACCGGATTATCTGGCTAACTGCTAATCCTTATAGCAAAAATTTTTAATGAATTTTAAATAAATAAAATAGACAAACCTCCCCAAAAATAACAATAGTTCTATACTCACCATTGAGGTGATGCATCTCTGTTGGTGCATTGTCGAGCTTTGGCACCACATGGGCTGGTGGGAGTTTGAGAACACGGGCTGAACTTTAGAATCGCTGAATTTTTTTTCAGACCTGGTCTGGGTAATTCTGGATATGCAGGGTCCGCATAGCCAGGGGTATCCTGTGCATCAGTCTCACACTGTATGTTACAGTAACTTCAGATATGTTCAATTGTCTGGTTATTTTTCTTGTGCCATGCTCTTACAGCGGATATAGCACAAAGGTACCGGATAAGTAAGTATCCAACGCTGAAACTGTTCAGGAATGGGATGATGATGAAGCGAGAGTACAGAGGTCAGAGATCAGTGACGGCACTTGCAGACTTCATCAAACAACAGAGAAATGATCCTATTCACGAAATCCAAAGTCTCGATGAATTGCAAACAATTGATGTAAGTCTAAGAACAAAACTTGCATTCTAGTTCAAATCTCAGCAGTGATATATGATGTGTTTTTAACAAATCTGTGACAAATTCATTCTTACTCATTTGAAATGGTCGTTTCATTTGAGTAATTGTATAGGGTAAAATATTAAACTTTGTTTTCTAAAGGTACAAGTAAGGGCTATCTTTCTCACAGCTAATTTAAATTTAATATGAGTGCACCAATCATCCTCAGCTGTGCTGTTAACGCAAAAATTTGATGAATTCCATAATGCATGCATTCAGCTAAAGCTGTAGAAACATCCACAGTATAGTGTCGTACTTCCTGAGTTCTTTCCACCTAAACATTCTTATTATAGCTATTATTGTAAATTATGATTGGGTTTCTTGGATCGATTCCATGTCTCTAATCAACTGTAATTTATTTTTCAAGTGTGCTAAGTATTGTAGTAATGCACCATGTGTTCACGTCCGTTAACTTCCTTCCCGTTTACAATTTGTACAGTGTTCCAAAAATGAGGTACTTTTTTTTTCAATTCAATAATTTTCAATTCCTAGTTCTTGGGTATAGTAAGGTAATACAAAATAATACTGATATAATGTTACAACAGGTGTCCTTAAAATCCAGCAAGAGTAATAACGGGGCAAAATCATCATTCAGTTCTTATGTATTTACTGCATGTGTGCTGAAAGTGGGTTGGCGAGCAGAATGTCAACTAGCATTCCACTCTAAAATGTCGCCGACTTGCAGGTCATCGGTTTTTTTGTAACGTCACTTCCCACGTGCAGTTTGTAGAAAGTGACCTGATAATGTGGGAGTGGGCTGTTGTTTGGCAAGTGAGAAGCAAATTGACAGCTTGAAGTGAGCTGGCCTGGTTTGTGGGAACAGTTTCTTTTTGTTAGTAATTGTTAGACCCCACACACCATTCTGTCTCAAAGCAAACCAGTATTTTAATGAAACTCGCTAAGGTGGTTGGTGCACTCGAATGTAGTTTGAAGGGCTTCTCTTAATTTTGGACATTGACCACTCTTTTCTCTAGTCAGGATTAGTGGTCATTAAGCATAAATGAGTAAAATAAATTAGCTGTTTTGTTGCTCACATCACGCACCCGTAATCCACTTCTAATGTCTACTACTTATGAAATCACATATTATTTCACCTGCATTCTTTCAGGAGACCCCAATTTCACATGCATGTCCTAGGTTCTGCAGTCCTAGGTTCAGCAATAACTACTTCAGTAGAGGATGTCAAAATATCTGTTTAATTGAGCAAATTAAATCTGATCTGCGATGCTCCACAATGTTTCACAATGATTATCTTCAATATTTAATTGTGCTCCTTGTGTAATAATACAATTGTTCTGTTTAGAAGGACAGTTTTGTACAGGGTGACCAAAAAGTCGTGAGACCATTACAATGATACCTTTAAAAAATGATTTTTTTTAGATAATAGGGTAGTTATCACGACTTTTTGGTCACCCTGTATTTAGCTGCAGATTATAGTAATGATTTTTTTTAATTCAACTCTTTAAAACCTGGAGGATAATTTTCATACATGGCAGAATGTTTTGAGGTTAGTCACGACCACCTCTTGTGCTAAACACAGAAAAATTATATAGAAGCACTGCATTCTGAAGGATTAAAGAACATGCTAGATAATTCTTGAAAGTGTTGTAATCCTGTTATTACTTCTAGCATTTGTGTAAATGGTGAAGTACATTTTAACCACATTAACAGCCTATCATTTGTTGTGTAGTAATATTTGTTACTTTACAAAATCTGAAGGAGTTGTAAAATCATCAAAATCTGTTTAAAGGGACTGGAGGACAATGTTAGAAATCAGTTATTTAAAGACATGTAATGAAACTTCAATCATTTAAAATTACCAATACTTTATTAGCCAGAATAAATTTTATGTCGAGTCTATACACTAACCACGACTGGGCATTAAAATTATTTGCTGGAGATGTACAGCTATATGGTTAAGAGATTTTGAAGTGATGCTGTTGATTTCTGAAATTGCACCTCACTTATAGTTTGACTCCTTTGTAATGAAGCAGGAAGAAATTTCAATCTGCAATTATCCTCTTGTGTGGTCAGTTCAGAAAATGCAAATATCTTTGTGAGATTTGGCTTGAATTTAAAATGTAAATAGTTTGCTACCTTTTTTAAACCAGGTTAGCTCAGATGTGGTGCTGGCCGGATGGCGGAGTTGCCAGGAGTGGTATTTTGATTGAACAATCCATTACTATTGTTGCTTTGTCTTACAGCGCAGCAAACGTAACATCATTGGATTTTTTGAACAAAGAGAGTCAGACAACTACAGAACCTTTGAAAAAGTGGCCAATATATTGCGGGATGATTGTGTCATTCAGGCCGCTTTTGGGTAAGTGTGAGCTGATATTCACATTTTTGTATTGGCAGGAATTATGGGACCATATGTAAAAATACAGATGTTGCTTCATATCTCCTCTGCTGCTAAGTCATGTATCCTTTCCAAGCCGACTCCAATGCTGCTCTGTAAGCAGTCCATAAGAGATGCACGAGAACAGCTCAGCTGGAACGTTTTTCCAGTGTTTCCCTTTGGCAAGTGAATCCTCCTATGACTCTCATCACTTCCTTCTGAGTTCCTATTTGCTGCTTCACCTTGGCCTTAAAGTACAATTCCATTTTGGAAATGGTTGTAAATACTTACCATCTCGTGAGTTTTTAAATGTTGGCTTTAAAAACATTAAATAGTTTAAATTGAGCAGAGTGTGCTGCAATGATTTCCAAATATTTTGCCTTGTAATCAGTAGTTTAGAAGACCTTAGTATTTAAAATGCAGTGGTCACTGTTATAAATGGTTTAAAGTTTGTTTTAAAGTGAAATTATGCAACTCGCTGATAAATTTGATGAAAACATTGCTTTCTCAAGCACGAGCCTATTTTGTGACAGGTATTTTGCTTCCTGCCCTTTGGTTGGTTCAAAGAGTCCACCAGGATGCAAAATATTAGCCACAAATCAGTTTTGTCGCCTGTCACGTTGCCAAAATGTGCCATTTCAGTCACAAATCCGATTTGCAATTAGAGCAGCGACTTCCAGTTTGTGACTGCTGTATTTTCAGCCCCATTTTTGCGTGATGCAGCTTTGACAATACCCACATTTCTTTTGGAAAAACATGCAGGTTGAATCTCTGCCTTTATTTACATTTATTAATATAAGATGTGTTGATTAAGGGTTAGAATAAATTAGGGTTCTAGATGTTCAAAAATCTTTACACATCTCTGCACACTAATCAGTTCATTATGGTGACATGATGGGATTAGTGACAGCTAATAACACTGTATTTAGAACTGGTAATTAAGTGTCGCTTGCAGCTGCTGTTATACACTTCCCTAGAACAAAAATCAAGACTTTTTTGCAGCAAATTAACTTGTATAAATAGGCAGTCCAATCGTGTGCAGCGCAGTGCTTAGGAATGAGAATCTGCTCTGGATCATGCTGTCTCTGGCTTTGTTTTTAAGTGTTTTTTTTCCTTTAAGTTCAGTTGAAGTAAATGTTGATCTCTGTGCCAGGGGAGACTACTTGTATCAGCATAGACATCAATTGTATTAGACCCATTTTAGAAACTTCCTCATGTCGGCTTGTGGCAGGAATCCCGAAAGTAATCTTACAAGAAAAATACCTTGGATAGTAGTACTATACATATATATAGTAGTACTTGGATAGTGCTATAGCACGTCAAGAAGCCTTGTAAGCGTTTTACAGGAAATTACTGCTTTTGTCGGCAAATGCTACACCAGCAGAGTCCCACAAATGGCCACAAGGTGATTTATTTCATCTGCAAGATTGTTGTTCATGGTCCTGGGAGGAATTCTCTTCTCTCTTTATATTGTCGCATTATCTTTAAAAATACTGTAAACTACTATGACGTGCTTTGAGACATCTTCCCGACATGATTATATGGCCACAGGGCAGGAGAATTGGTCGGAGGGCAGAAAGTAAAGAATAAAGGAAAATGTAAGGCTGACATCTAGATTTTTAACCACTGAAAAACTCGTTAATTCAAGATCCTCGTCCTCACTTTCAAGGCCATCCATGGCCTTGCCCCCTGCTACCTCTCTGACCTGCTGACTCTCTACCAACCTGCCCGCTCCCTCCATTCAGCGGGCTCCAGTCTGCTCCATGTCTCACGCCTGACCCACCCTACCATCAGTGGCCGGGCTTTCAGCCTCTCTGCCCCCACAATCTGGAACTCCATCCCATGTTCCCTTCACCTCGCTTCCTCCCTTGCCTCCTTCAAGGCCGGTTTCAAGATCCTTCTCTTCGATTGTGCCTTTGGTCGCGCTCCCACCTCTCTGCCTTCCCTCACCCATACACCACCCCTCCCCCATGCTCGGGCCCCGACCCCTGACTGTTCAGCGTTTTGGGACGTCCTCCCAGCGTGAAAGGTGCTCTATAAATGTAATTTTGTTGTTATTGTTAATATTTTCACCAATCTGTCCATCACCAAACAAGAATTAATAACAGTAAAATCTACCAACTCTGAGTATCTGTAGACTCTGTTGATTAAAATTCAGTGGAAAACCACCAGTCCGATTCCATCTTCATAATTACAACAGCCTCGGAATTATATCCGAACCCTGACTTCTCTGTGAGAATCCTATAGCGTTAATCTTGTCCACGCAGATGCCCGAGCTGAGCAAGACAGTTGTGTAGAACGTGTCCATACTCAGGGGGCTGAGTTTGTGCCAACAATAGAATTATTTTGTGTGTGTCTTTTTGTAAGTCTGTGGTCCACTTGTCTTTTACATAAATTGTGATACTGTATAAACTCCCAGCTGAAGCTTTACTTCCAATTATAAGCAATGCCAGTAAGTTCTCCACCATTCCTGGTGAACCGATCAAAACGCAGGGTGTTTTAAGCTCTGTGTTTGAACAACAGATAGAATGTAACTTTTATTTGGAATCAGGAATTGCAGCCGCAGAAACTACAATCGCTATTCACCTCACACTGTCCTTTATTCCTTGAACTGATCACAACTGTGATCACAACTGCAAGTGACCCTTCATAATAAAGAGCTGTCCTATTGACTTGCAGCAGATAATTCTATTACAGAATAGAAGTATTGTATGAGATAATTTTATTGAGTAATATCTCTTGAATGTTCTTTTTCCTTTTTTAGAAGTGTTGCAAAACCTGAGAGGTTCAGTGGTGATAACGTAATATACAAACCAATTGGGGTAAGTTCATAGCCCCTTTTGTCATATTTAGTGTATTCTTTACCACTTGAAATTCATAATCAATATTTGTATACAGTAGCCTGTTAATATTTTAAAAGCATTATATCCTGCATTGCAATCAGTCTCATGGTTAATTCAAAATTGACATATTATTTGGTTCTGTCTAACCTCATGTAACATGTTTTATTCCTTTCCCCTAGGAGAACAGTCCTGACATGGTGTATTTGGGTTCGCTGAATAATTTTGATCTGTCGTTTGCCTGGACTCAGGATAAGTGTGTGCCATTGGTTAGAGAAATCACTTTTGAAAATGGTGAGGTAAGTCCAAGTTGGCTGTGAAAAGAACTATTTATACAATGCCCTGATTTATATCAGTGAGGAGTCCTGAGTCAATCACTGCACTTGAAATTTGAGGAAAGACATTCACATCTAACCATTTGAAAACATTTGTATTACAGTTGTTTCTCAATATCCATTTTTGTCTAAATCTCTTCTCCCCCATTCCCCTTCTAACGCACATTATACACCAATCCTAACTGAGGAAACAGGTGGGTGAACAGCTTCAGGCATCCACCAATACAGCTATGTAACCTGCCATCGAGTGTGAGTGATGTAATTGAGTCCTTTTTTTAAAAAAAACTTCCTTCCCTCCGGGGAGAAGCACTCTGAGAATAAAGCTCAGTGTGGGAGAACTGCAGAGACAGACTAGGTTTTGCTGCTCAGTGTTGCTACCAGTCCTCATTTTACAAAAGTACATTGCAAACAAACCAGTTGATTTTTGTAGCTTGGGACAAAGTCCTGCTTAATATTTTGACTCCATGTGGTTTTCATACATAATGGTATATACTGTAAGAATCAGTAATTAAACCATGCTACTAATGTTTTAATGAAGGCCACTGCAATGCTGTGCCTTGGAGTGATGGGATGTGGATCTGAATGTTCATTTCCTGATTCAGTGATCCCTGAGTTCTGTGTTGCAACTTGCCATGGAAACCTGAGAAAAAAATATATGATCAATCATTATTACCTTTTGCTAAAGTCCAAGACAGGGGATTAGTGCTGTATTTCAGTTGAGGAAACATTCCACAAATAGGAAGATTGAGATTTGATTCCAGAGATGTGTGGACACATTCTCAGGGTCAGACATGAAGCTGAGATATGCCATCCTGGGCATATTGTGGGTATGATGGGTTTGTAGGAAAACATTCTTAATTTTAATGTTCAGAATAGTTCAGCATTGTATGCTCAAAACGTTCAAAAGATGAATAAAAAATTATAATCCTTACATTTGATACAATGCCTTTCAAATGGGGATGATGTGTCGACACAATTCACAGGATTTATTGTAAAATATAATGACTGTATTTTGTAGGCAAACACAGCAGACAATTTGCTCACAGTAATATCTGATAAAAAGCCATGAAGTATAGAACTATTGAAATTTGGTGTACAGAAGAAAGTCAATTGGCCTATCGTGTGTGCATTGACTATTTTAAGAGCTAACCTTTCAGTCCCATTTACCTGCCCTTTCCCCAAGCCCCTTGTAGTATTCTCTTTTAGGTATTTATTTAGTTGTAGTCCTGTAGCTCAGTGGTTAGAGCAGTCGCCTCGCAAGCGAGTAACCTGGGTTCAATTCCCAGCAGGGAGAAACTATGGGCAAGTTTCCTTACTCCACACACCTCTGCCTACCTGGCAATAAGTAGAAACCCGGTTGTTAGTCGATTGGCGGATCACTTATCCGGAGGTAATCATTTCTTCAACAACAACAAAAATGATAATAAATTGGTCATTTCAATCCACGACTGTTTGTAGGACACTGCTGTGAAAAATTGGCTACCATGTTTCGCCCACAGAATATACAGTCAATTCACTTCACAGTATATTCTGTGAAGCGCTGTGAGACGTCTCGAAGATGTGATGAGGCGCTATATCAAATGCAAGGATTATTATTATGGTTCCCTTTTGAAAGCTGATATGGATGCTGCCTTAACTACCACAAAGCATTCCATATCCTAACTACTCTGCGTGAAAAAATTCTCCTGACCTTCCCATTTGCTAACTATCTTGAATTGATGCCCTCTAGTCCCTGAAATGAATGATCAATTTTATTTGGGGGATTGTTGGCCAGGACACTGGGAGATAATCCCTTCTGACCCCTGAACAGGCAGACAGGTTCTCAGTTTAACTTCTCATCTAAAAGATAGCACCTCCAACGATGCACCCCTCCCCCCCCCCTCCCCAGAACTGGACTAGAGTGTCAGCCTAGACTAACTTCAAAGTGCAGATGTGGAGCTTTAACCCACAACCTTCGGAAATAAAACAGAGGTTTCAGTTATGTGACGAGGATTATCAGAAAAATGACTTTTTTTAATCACTGAAGCCTGTTAGAATGTACAATACCTTACCACAAATGAGTGCTGAAGCCAAATGTGTAACTGTGTTGAAAGGGGAATGGATACATATTTAAGAAAAATAATAACTGTGAGGGCAAAAGAGCAGCAGAGGAATGGGTTTTGGATATCTGCTGGGGAAGGATTGGCTGTTGGGATGAATGGATTCCTTTTGTGCTGTGAAGTGTCTGTGATTCTCTGATTACATTTCCTCAATGACCTGGGTAATGAAAACTGTAAGTTATTATACTTCTGACAAGTTCTCGAACAGAAGAATACTGGTTCTGAATTTCTTTGTGATAGTATACTATGTGCTGTACATTTGTACTGCCATGTGTTTGCAGATAGAATAGTAAGCAGTGTTAACACATATTAACATCAGAAGTGATCATTTGTTCAGCATGTCTTGTATACCAATATGCTAAAAAGATGCCAGATGTTACATTCAGTGTGAAGGCTTCCCAGTGTACTTTTCCCACAGTGAAATTAGGTTTCCCTCAACTAACCCTTAGAAACAGTGTTCTATTGTTTAAAGCCATGTTCTAGTCTGGTGGCTTAAACGGATGCTTGTGTTTACATAGGCAGGTGCTTAAGATCCAGCTTCATTCCAGTTTGATGACCTGCTTAGCAACATGTGTAAAATATCTGTTGATGCAGCTCCAGCCCAGGCATGCTGCTGCGTTCCTCCATTCCCTTTACCTTGATTTGTGTTTTGTAAACCAAACCCGTGCACCACATATCCTGCATTTTAACCAAAACATTATAATTTCATCTTGGAACGGATTTGATGATTATCTGCTATTTACACAAGCCTATTAATATTGATCTTCCCTGACCCTCTCTAAATTAAAATTTACATTTTAAAAAGTAAAATTATTTAAGATTCTATTACAGGCATGAAAAACTATCCAGCTTATTTTGCAGAGTAACTACCCTGCCATCTCCATTATAAATATATTTCCCTGAAATCGATCTTGTACACACATACTGCCTTTCCCCCACCATACACAGCAGTATTTTCACCCAAGTTGAATGATGACTATTGCATGGAAATCTGTTCTCAAATTGATTTGTCGTTGCCCTTCCAGTGCCTTGACACAATGCTTCTGGTCATTTCCCCTCTCATTCCTCACCCCCATTCTAAACCATGGAATATTTTATGCTTAAGGGATCAGAGTGAAATTTTCTTAAGCAGAGTGTGACATCACAGGATAATTGAGAGGTATCTTGAAGTGTTGCTCCAGTCAACACATCCTAAGCTTGAAGCCAGCCTGGGCTCTTAGCTTGGGAAATGCTGATCTAGAGTGATGGCACAATATTATTGTATTAAAACCAATCTGGTATGAGAGACAGAATACAATTAGTTTTAACACACACTTATTTGATTCTGTAGTGTTAATGGCATCTAATACATGAACTTCTTTTATAGTTATGTGATTGAAATGCATGTACTTAAAAAGCTAATACTAATACTGTAGTGTGGATAATGTAACATTTCCAATGAATCTGCATTATCTTGCTGCTCAGGAGTTGACTGAAGAAGGCCTTCCATTCCTTATACTGTTTCATTTGAAAGAAGACACTGAAAGCTTAGATAAATTTCAGCATGAAGTTGCAAGACAGTTGATCAGCGAGAAAGGTAACTTCCTTTGCTTTTTCTCCACTCACTATATTGGATTTTCTATTGAGTAACAACCATTTACATGTTTTAACGTACACTGTTAAGTGGTATAAGCCATTTCTGACTTCTTTACATTTAAAGGTTAATGGGAAAGAATTATGATTTAGTGTGTTAATACCGGGAGTTTTTATTTTGTAACACAACTCAAGGTGCAATTCTCATCAGAAATTAGAGGTAATATGGTATTTCTATTTTAAGACAATTTCTCTGCTCTCCTCACCAGTAAATGGCATTATTGTTCTCCACATGAAAGATCAATGTCCTAAAGTGCTTTTAGGAATAAGGCCTCTTGGGCCTTTGTAAGTAAACACTGACTCACTGAATAATTTGAAACCTACAAATGCAAATCTATCTGAATGAACAACTGACTCATATACATCGGACAGAACCTATTTAAACACCACAACATTAAAGAATCCATGGTGGCCTATTATTCATCCTCCTGCAGTACCAATGTATACAGATAAAGTGTCTTTGCTGTTTTATCAGTTGATAACATCCCTTGAATAATCGTTGAGTGCACTTCAGCACATTTTCATACTAAGTGGCTTCCCCTTGTCATACACTGTAGGTGAGAAATTCCTTGTTGCTAAGTGTAGCAACTTTGATGGTGCGCACTTCTAATGCAGTTGTCCCATTTTATGTGCAAATCATCAAACACTACTCCAAGTTAAGAAGGGTTTCTCTGCCTTGTATGCCTTTTGAAAATAATAGGCTGTAAATATCTGCTCTATCCATGTACACACTGGCCTGAAGCCTCAGCAAATATAGCAAAAATTGCATTACTATAATGTCCTTCATGTTAGCATAATGTCTCAAAACATTTCACAAGGACAGGGTTGTATGCTAGAGAAGGGAGGTGCAAAGGTATTTATAGGTGAGTGTGAGAACTTTGAAATTGATCCGTGGGGTGACATTGGAGGCTGGTGATGCAGTATCATGTAACCACATTCTATAATTAGTTACCTTGTCAAACTTTTCCAAGTTTAAAAAAATTAATAGAAGTATTTAGAAATGTGGTAGATCAGTTAGCTAATGGAAGCTAATCTAATCCTACTTAAGAGAATTAACAAAACCAACGCATAAAATACCCTGGAGTGATCAGTTGTTATTGGTCAACCGGATGTCTGACATGTGGATACCCCAAGTTTAACAGTTTCCAAAGCAGATTCCGAATTCCACGTTTATGCCACGTTTATCTCTGGAAGGGAACACTCTCTCCCTGGAGGGATGCATCTGTTTACCCAATTCCAGAAACTATTAGATACAGGTTCACAACAGCAACTTGCATTTATATAGTACTCTTCACGCGGGGTAGCATCTTGGAACGCATAACAGTGGCAGAGCTTGACTTGATCTGAAGATGGACAATGAAGGGGCAAGGCAGAGGGATTGAGGCAGAGTTGCAGAGTCTCAGGGTAAAGTGGCTGAAGGCACAGCCACTGGTGGTGGGAGTGGAGAGATGAAGGACATGCAGGAGGCTGGAATCAGCTGGGCGGGGGTCGGGGTAGAGGTGGGATGTAAACCCAGGGAGGTGAGGTGCCAGGGCATGAAGTCATTTGTATGTTGGTGTGGAGATCTTGAAATTGATTTGTTTTGCAATAGGGTGCTAGCGGAGCCTGACAAGGACTGGGGTGATGGGGATAAATTGGATTAGAGCTAAAGTAGAGTGTGTGCTGGGATATTCCTATTGTTTAACCAGCTCAAACCACATAATTTGCCATTGAGAGCACAGTTTGGCAAGCTTTCCCACTGCTTCTTTCCCACTAGGACCACCTATTAGGGATTTGGTTTGCAGGATTAACAGGAGCTGAGTGGGAGAATCCCTCCCCTATTTCTGCTCATCTGAGCAATTGGAGTCGGGGAGCTTGAGCAACAGCTACTTAACTCTGTAAATACCATTCAAAGTGGATATCAAGTTTGGGATTTATGAGTATGTGCTCACAAACTCAAACTTCAAATAACACCTTTCAGCAGCCGTTGCCTCAAGCTTAAAGTTTCCTCAATAGCTATTTTCTACCTTTCCCTCACCCATATTAATAGTATAATAATTCTTGCATTTAATATAGCATCTTATCATATGTCAAGACGTGTCAAAGCACTTCACAGGATTTTGCTGTAAAGTGTGGTGACTGTATTTGTAAGTGAATTCATAGTCCAATAGTCTATAACTGCATGTTGTCTATACTTGTGTATAAGGAATAAACATTTAGCTGAGAGGGCAGAGAGCTCTGATGTCTGTGGAGCTATACCTCAGCAAAAGGCTTTACTTTCAGGGGAGGAGGATGGAAACCAGTAAAACTACAAATATATTTACAGCCAATAATTTGAAAGTTCTGGGAAACTGTTGAGTTAGGGAGGAGACTTGCACTTTATCAAAATTTGTGGTCTGTTGGAACCTTACAGCCCATATTAACTGGCATCCCCGTAAAGGGAAAGGGGGAGTCCCAACCTTTACACTTTGCCTGGATGAGAGTAAATCAAGAGAAGATATATGCCAGTTTGACATTTTTCCAGGGAATGAAATATATGAAATTCTTGTCAAATCAGTAAATTGTATGAAATCGCACATTGGTGTAAATATGCTTACAATTAAGATCTGTTGAACCAGGATGTGATTGAAAAATAATGATAATCTTTGCCTTTGATGTAGCACCTTATCATGTTGTTAAGACGTCTCAAACTACTTCATAGCGTATACTGCAAAGTGAATTGACTATTTTGTAGATATTTTTAAAAACTTAAGAATATCCATTTTGTTTATATAGAGCATAGTCCCTTGGGAAGAGCTATTCAGGGAGAAAAATGTCTGCTGTACAATTCCATGTAAAGGAAGAATAAACCTGTCTTGAGTACTGGATAAGTTAATGTACCAGCAGTAGCCAGAGCTAGTGTAAAACCTCACTGGAAAGGCTGTTTTTGCTTTCCAATTTAGTGACTATACAATTACAGTGAAATTAGTAGGCTTTTTATTTAAATGAAAACTTTTCTGATCACTTGAATATGAAGCAAAATTCAACTACAATTACTATAGTCTTGGAAGATGTCCAAATGATGCTTCATGTGATTAATATTTGGGCTGCAGGGTTTTAGCTGTGATGACAATTTTCCCTTCACAGTTTTATCACTCCATTGGTATGCGGCATTGGACTTTAAACTGAAGTTATATACCTTACAGTGAAGGAGATTATGGTCTGATTTGATTGAGGTATTTAAAATATTAAAAGCAATTAACAGATTAGATAGTCGATAACTTCCCTTTGGTAAAAGGATCCATTATAAGGGATCATGGCTTTAAAATTAGAACAGAGGCAGGAAACATTTCTTCATATAGAAGAAATGAAAACAGAAGTCAACATGAACAACAGAAGTGCTCAGTTCTGACGAATGGTCGTGGACCTGAAACGTTGGCTCCATAGCTGCTGCCTGATCTGCTGAGTGTTCCCAGTGACTTCTGTTCTTGTTTCAGATTTTCAGCATCTGCAGTATTTTGCATTTTCTTCATATCGAGGGTTGTGGAGACGTAGAATGGTCTGCCCCAGAAAGCTGTAGAAGCAGAATCAATATCGATGTTTAAGATAAAGATACTGGGTAGTTGAGAGATAAAGGTGTGTGGTGAAAGGACAGGGCATTTCAGATTAAAAGATCTGCCAAGATCTAATAAACTATTGCAACAGGCTTGGTGAGCAGAATGGTGTCCGGTTCCTGTTTCTCAGTGTGCCTGCTAGCACACAGTTGTTTTACTGCTGTCTTGATCAAGACATTTGTTCCATTTCACAGGTAAATTGTACGATAGCAAATAAATAAATAACTTGTAAATCACTTAAACTCTCCAAGGAATTCAACAGCATGGTAAAATTCAGAATAACAAAACTAGACGTGTATCTGTTTGTTTCCAGAATCACTGCTTTTGGTTTTGTAAAGTGTTGACATAAAATAAGACATAACTGAAGCCAGTGTCAGACTGAAAGTGGGCATGTTTGTACACAGCACCAATCTAGGAAGTTTATACTAGTTGCTGCCATTTGATAAAGCAGAAGTGCGAATCAATCCAAGTTAATTGTCTTTGGGAGATTTGGTATCCCGGAAGCCCAGCTTGCCCTAAGGGGAAAATGGAGAAATCTTCTTGTTTTATATTAATAGTACTAGTTCATTATGCTGTGTTTAGACAAATTGTCTTGTGTTTTGTGAATATACTAAAATATGGATAAATTCTTTTAGGTACAATAAACTTCCTACATGCTGACTGTGACAAGTTCCGTCATCCTCTCCTCCACATACAGAAGGCTCCAGCAGACTGTCCTGTTATTGCTATTGACAGTTTTAGGCATATGTATGTTTTTGCAGACTTTAAAGACTTAGCGTAAGTAGATATTTTCTTTTATTGATAATAATAATCCATGCATTTGGTATTGCCTTTCATGTCGGGGGGGGGGGGGGGGGAGTGCATCCCGGAGTGCTTCACGGGATATATACACTAAAGTGTCTGTTTTGTGGATGTGCAGTGTCCTACAAATAGCTGTGAAATGAATGACTAAATTTATTTGAAGGATTGTTGGCCAGGACACCAGGAGGAACTCTGTTCTCTTTTAGAATAGTGCGAGGGAATATTTAAGGTCCTCCTGAACAGGCAGATGGGGCTCGAGTGAATTCCTGTATGAGTCTTAAGTGCCAATGTGGGGCTTGAACCACAACTTCTGACTCCCGGAGGCAAGAGTGCTGCCAACTGAGCCAGGCTGACACACATACACTTCACACTTTTCTGGGAAGGTTGTGACTTCAATTCATCGAAAGAGGACTTTTTTAATGTAGTATTTGCTGGTTTGTGATTTGCCATTTTACAGAATCTTGCAAATGATGCTCTCAGCTCGTGGGTTGACATTTTCATTCAATTTGTAAATATCTAAGTTTTAATTGCAGCACAATCCTTAACCTTTTAAAGTTTATTTCTTTAAAATATTTAAAATTTCTTCTCATTATTGCCTCCCTCAAAGAATTTAAACATATACTTCCTTAATCTTCAAATTAATAGTCAATCAATTTAATTAATACGTGTAACAATGAAGAAGTGTGATGGTTGGTTTGAAATACACAAAAGTCCTGTATTCCAATGTGTTTCCAAAATGATAATGAGAAATCGGGGTCTCTCTCCCCTCTCTCTCCCTAACTACACCTCCCCCCCCCCCCCCCCCACACACACACCAAGGATTTGGTTGAATGATGAACAGCACTGTTGGCTGTCTTGTCCTTTTTCAATTTTTAAAAAAAATGTTATTAGTAAATATTTCAGAAATATTACACATAATTTCTTTCTTGTTCTTTGAGCATTTTTGTTAGCAGCTTCCTTTTAACTCAATGTATAGTTCCAACAGAACATAGAGCTTCAGAATTAGTGAAGAGTGTGGCTTCTATTAAAAACGCCCATCAAAATATTCCTTGAATTATAGACTAAATTCTTTCACAGTCTTATGATTGAACCTTTTATCTTGTATTGCTTGCATCTCATCAGGACACGTTAAAAAAAAGTAAGGATATATATAATCAATCTAATGTAATATGTGATTGACTTACCCCTGACTTTGTAATTTGAAAACTAAACCAGAATATACATATATAAATCTCTTGCCTACCTGTAGTTTGTCTTCTCCAATTTTTTCTGATTACAATGAAGTCTGGTGCTAACAATAACCCCAATAGTCTGTCTTTCTTGTTTGAACAGTTCATAAATGGAGAATAAATACAATAAGAAATACTTTGTTTACAGTGTAACCGATGAATGCAGAGATGTAGAAACTTACTGTATAAATGTCAGTCTTCCTATTACCCGTGTCCATTAAACTGGAGAACATATTTGCCCAATTCTTTTCTCATTTTAACACACAAGATATTTTGGCAGCTAATCATATTTGTAGTTGTATAAATACATTTTCTCTGCTCAAATTGATCTTTTACAACTCAGTTTAAAGCACATTTCTATCCTTTATGAGGGCCTCCACTGACTTCTGATGTCAGGATTCAATTTTTTTTAAGGTTAGTTGGGTATCCGACATGTGGAAACTCATCCCCATGCTTAGAGATTCCAAATTAAACTATAAAGAGTTCCACACACTATATGTATGGTTTCAGATAGGTCCACTTTAGGGATTGTTGAAGCGCCCTCAAGAAATGATTCCTTTAGAAAGATGATTTTTGGGGGGGAGGGAAAGTTGATGTTGCGACTATTTGATGTGAGCTTGTTTAGATTGGTCATAAATTGCTGTCTGCAGCTTGCCATAAGACAAACTGTACAAGATGTGATGTATTCTTCAGAGCTTTTGAGACCAACTAGCAGCAGTCTGTGTGACTGCAGCACATTTGACATTTCATAGATAAAATTGATTGCTGGATTTTAGCACTTTGCAGTAGGTGACAACAGATGATCTAAGATGAAATTTAAATTGATCTTCCCTCAGCGTTTATCTCTGGTATGTGTGCAATTACTTTTCGCTCTGGAGGACCTTTTGAAAGCTTTTCTGTCAATACCGACTACCTGACTAGTGCTTGTATTTGTAAACTGTGTGTTTGACACCTGCTGTTGGCTGCTACACAGAAGGGCTAATGCAGAGACTATGCACTGTGGGAGCTATCAAGGGGCCGCAATGGGCTGTCATTGCTCCTGTATCCTTGGGGGGATAGGAAAATCACAGTAGCCGACAACCAGTGCAAACTGACACTCTCTTCTGCCTTTTAATTAAATCGCCTTCAACTAACCAAAAAAAAGAAAATCAATTAGGATTGATTTTCTAACTGGTTTGTTTTATTCCCTGTTTCATGCTTTGCTCAGACAGTTGACTATTCTTTTGATTACAGAATTCCAGGTAAACTGAAGCAGTTTATATTGGACCTACACTCTGGTAAATTACACAGGGAATTTCACCACGGCCCAGATCCCACTGATACAGCTCCTGGACAGGTAAGAAGCGCCGGGTATAGTGAAATAGTGATGGTGAGTTAAGGGTTAGAATAATGGTGCCTGCAATACACCCTCTGATGTTCATAAATGTTATCCAACTAATTTCACAATCACTAAGAACAACAAACTTACATTAATATAGCACCTTTCATATTGGGAGGACATCTTATGGATTGTTTTTCTCCTCTTTTGACCCCAACAACTCAGCTTCTGATTACCCAACAATCAATCCATTTGTAGTCAGTCCCTTGAGAGCTGGCATTGTTGTCCACTCCCTATTTCAAAACTGCCTTGGTCAATGTTTGAATCTGGATGGTTGTTTAAGGTACATATAACGTGTGAACTGTGTCCAAACAGACATCCTAAATGGTTAGTTGGAATGAATTTTATGTCATCCAACAAATGTTTTTGGTAAATTCAACTTTACAGAGAATGATGCATTTTAGGCATTTGCCTTTATGTTTGGAGGACGTCCCAAAGACCTTCACAGGATACAGTAAAATGGAGTGTGTTTTACAGCCATAAAATAATCTCTGAGCACTTTACAAAGATTTATTAGACGGTGGGGTGGCTAGAGGTGTGGTCAAAGATGTAGGATTTAAGGCAGGATTTACAGCAGAAAGGTTAGGAACGTAATAGCTTAAAGCTTGACCACCGACTGACAAAGGAGACATGCACAAGCTTGAATTCACCGAGTGGTGGGGACAAGCGGAGGTGAGGAGCCAGAACTTGATCCCATGGGAGAAGCCCAGGACAGGGTGTTGGGCGGCAGAATTTAGTGTGGTTGAGGTTGTGGGAGACAGAGTTTTGAATTAGCTGGAGCTTATGGATAGTGAACATAGGAACACCAGCAAAGAATGCATCTCAAGTCTAGACGGGAGGTAACTGAGGCGTGAATAAAGGTTTGGGCTGTTGCAGTATACGGACAATACTGATGCAGTATCATTTCTTTGGCTTTCATATAAATTCCATTTAAGTGGTTAGATGGTGTAATTCAAATTATGAGGTATTTACAGATGAGCACAATGAAAGTTCAGTTTACTGAAAATCTGGGTTTTACAGTTTGTTGATGAGTGGGATTTTCTCTTGGCAGGAGACATGGTCTGAGAGTTCAGGAACATTTGGTGATTTGATTGGTGTGGATCTTGAGATTCACACCTTCCCATGCAAGGCTTTGTTTCAGGTCCCTTACCATAAGGGTGGGAAGAGACTGTCAAAGATTTAATGTAAACACATATTAGTACTTAAATCCTGCACCATGTGGAAGATATTGAATAGCAGAATTACCTACTTTGTAAGGTGGTCATTCTTTAAACCACATTCCTCATATCACACTCTATCCCCAGCGATCGAGCTGCTCTGTCCACTATCATTCTTGGAGATTCCCATCTGTAAACATTTGTTGAAAAACATTTATCAAACTGACATCAGCCCAGAGCAATGCTTCAGTTGGCCTGGCAAGGAAGAAATGCATCAGTGAATTTTTTGAAGGAAATTATATCCACGTTTTCCTTTTTTTCTCCTCTTCCTCCCCCCCCCCCCCCCCGGATAATTTAATTGAAAATGTGATCCTAAAAGATAGAGCTTTACTTTATTATATAATTGAATTGTTAATTTGAATGCTACTATTAATTCTCTTTTTTTTCTGTGTTTGCAACTAATTAACAGCAGCAAAGTGAAGAAGTCCAAAGTAGTCCCCCAGAAAGTTCATTCCAGAAACTGGCTCCCAGTGAACACAGGTATACCATCCTCAAGAGAAGCCGAGATGAATTATAGATCTATTAAGGAACTGTACAAGACCAGAAAACAAAAAGCTTTGCCCCATGAGTGGCAGAAATACTAAGCCTATATTTTCATAAGTCTGTGTGTACAGTTTTTATTTTGGATAAAACTAAAAACAAATTTCCAACAAATCGTGGTGTTATTGTTCTTTGCTTCCCTGGCTTGTGAATACATTAATGTATACTATGGTTCAGTCTGGTCAATTTTAATAAAAATAAACTCTTGGTAAATGTATAGATGTCAGAAAACATCAGCTATTTCCTGATCCAAACTTTTCTAATAAAAAGGCCATATCCTTGAATTTATCACAAAGGATTTGCCAATGATGTTTACCACATACTTGCACTGTCCCATTAAACAGGCCTCATCTTTTGATGTTTTATCTCCAATTTGTCAAACATGCTTTTTTTTCAAAAAAAGGAAACGTTTCATTTAACAATTTGCTATGTGGGTGACGTGAGCTGTGATGGTTTCAGAATGTCCACGTTGGAGAGGGTGTGTTGCCCTCATTTTGGAAAACAAAATAAAATTTTAAGTGGCCTAGTATGATGATGTGGTTTGTAAGATTTTGTTCAAATGGGAATAGTAGTTGCATTTTCATTTCATTTCTTAGGATAGTAAACATTTTATTCATAAAAAAATTAAAAATGTACAAAATCAACATTCCAATTACTGGAGCTAATAGATATTTATAACATGGCTTTGTAACATTCCTGTTCACATATTTGTTTGAAGGCAAATGTCAATATTAGTGTTCAATACAGCTTGTGCAAGCCTTCAGTCTGAATTTCAGATGCCAGCACTGTCTCTGTTTGTAGGTAAATTGTACTGACATCTTGCAGTACAATATACACCTTCACTAAACATCGTCTGCTCAGCCTGGAGACAGTTGTTTGCAAATTATTTCTTTAACCCTCCATCCTCTTGGTGTTCAATTTGTTGTGGCCTTGAATTCAGCCAGATTTTTCTGAAGCTTCAATTCTTCAGATCTGGGCAGCTTGAAGAAAGTTGAACTTCTTTGTCTATCTTCTGCTGCCGTTTCTTCTGCAACATCTTGCCACCTGTGAAGCCAAGTACCCCTCCACTGACTGCAGCTGCAACTCCCATGATTTTGAAGCCAGCCAGGAGCCCAACAGGACCCCCCACCAACCCACCAATGAGAGCACCTGCCACAGGCAACATTGCCAGTTTATATTTAGCGGCCTGAAAAATCAATGAGAAACAGGTTTAAAAAAGACACAAGCCAGATTGCCAGTTACTGTGTGATTTCTTGCTGTCTAAGAGCTGGTACCAATCCATCAGGGTAAAGTCTCTTTTAGTGCAGCTGTTCTGTGGATGATTACTATGTGCAGAACAGTGCTCGCTAGTTTCACTGCATGAGACCATCACAATACAGATTGATTTTTTTTTTGACAAGCAGTGTGTCACTTCTCCCTTATTTCCTTAATTGCTGGTTCCCTTAACATTTGAGAGCCCAGATCAATCAATTGGGTTAATTCAGAGTATTGCTGGCAGGCAGAGCTGCCATTGATTACTCAGCAGGCACAGATCCCTACCTTAGCTAGGCTCCTGGTTCCCTCTTCAACGTTCTCAGCAGCAGTACTGACATGGTCTTCAATGCTGTCAATCTTCTCCTGTTGGGTCTAGATGCAAAGGAATTATATGCTTGCTTTCCAGCTGGGAAACAGCAGTCAACCACTATACACAATTATAATTCCTATAATCAGAGCTTACAGCATCTTTCATCTACTAGTCAATGCATCTACAATTCCTAATGGCAATTTCTTAACAGTGATCCCTCTGCCCCCTTTGTCTACAGATAGTTTGCTGACTGTTTAAATATTTACCAATATCAAAATCTCTTTAAATGGTGTGAGATCCGTGCCATTTAATCCATTCAGTATTATTAGTGTTTTTTCTGTAGTAATTGTTTTAGTCCAAATCATTTAATACACATTTGCCAAGCGGGGTGGAGTGTTTGGAGTATCAAAGTAGCACTATGCTGTGCTGGAACGCAATCTGATCAACTTGACCGATTTCCTTATCTGAACTGTTTACCTAGAGCTACCAACTCGAGGTTCCTTGCCCCAAAATGGCTTATGTAAAGCCCAGAGAAGAAAGGATAGATTGTGTACTCTCAAGGAAAATATATAACATAAATAGACAACTGCTTAGAATTAAATATTTATTTGCTCCTGATAAAATTTTGGATTTTCTTTTAAAAAGTTAGTTTAAATAAACTCTAATACTCTCCCCAGATTCAAAGTGTTGTATTACATTGTCAACTCCAACTTAGAAGGAACAGTGCACCTATTTACTCCCTACAGTTGCTCTAATGTAGTATGATTCAGGAAGAGAGGGTCACACTTGGGAGTCCCTCTCAGCTGTGCCATTGTGTAGAGTCTGGGCACAGTGTTAGAGGCAGAGACCCAGGCTCCCTGGGCTTTCCTCACATGCACAATGGAGGAAAAATACTGCCAGAAACACTTGAGAGGTAAATTTCAATATTTAAGTTGTCACACATGCTGCAAAATTAGTTCAAAAGCACAATTCTTGCACAGCCCGGACCTAGCATTTTAAATACGCACATCCAGCCTTTCAAACAGCTATTATCCCACCCCATCACATTGACATTTCCTGTTGCATGCTCAGCCCAGTTTGTTCAATACAAAACCACCGATTACTGGCAGAAGTTTGAAATCACAGAAGGAAAACAGTTGGAAATATTTCCTGAGTGTTTTATGGCAGGTGCAACTTTTAAGATGGATCGAAATTGGAATCTTTCAAAATTAATTACAAATAAATTGCAACCCAAACTAAATGAAGACAAGTTAATCCCGACTGAAACTGCACTTTATTGTTTTGCTGTCTTGATACAGCAAAAACTGAATATTGAATCCAGCAATATAGCCATGTGGAACAAGGAGCCTCACTTTTACACCCACTCACTGTATCTCATCAAGACTGAAAAACTAACACCCAATTTTGGAATTCTGCACACATTCACTGAAATAGTTTTTTTGATCAATTGGTTAAAAACATTAAACTAGTTAAGGTTCTATAAATGCAGAACTGGTTCTTGTAGCCTTGTCGATGACTAGGGAAGAAGATTATTGACCACTTCACTGTATGTGTAGGCTGAGCCCAAATATAGCACTGCAACAGGAGGCTATGTTCTGTTTATCTTTTTCTGGCCACCAGAACCTGTTTAGGTTCCTGGCAGCAGCAGAGTAACCTCATTTCTATTGTTGCTTTGTCACAATATCATTGAAACAAGCCAGCTTTGGGAACAAAGCTCCACACCAACATGCTGCTTGACCGAGTAGAGCAATCTTATCAATGGGGTCCAAGAAAATTTGATGCACAAATCGCACGAATATTAAGACTTTTCACATGTTGCTGGCTTTCAGAAATCAAAATGAAGCATTCTTCAAAATCCCAAATTTAACAACTTTAGAAAATTGAACCTGCCACTTAGCGCTTTCAGTTCCACTGCAAAGATTGTAAGTGGATGGAGGGCACAAGACAAAGAATTTTGGTAAGTATTCCAGAGACCAGAAGCAAAGTGACTGAAGGCTCACCAGCTGATGGTGAGAGAGGGTTTGGGGTACATGGTTAGCAGACTGAGGCAGTAGGTAGGAGAGCAAGATCACAGCAGATCAAAGAGGTAAGGTGGGGTAGGGCCATGCAGGCAACTGGAAGTTGGAACAAAGATCTTAAAATCTATCCACTGGGGAATACGGAGCCTGTCGAGGATGAAGTTGATGGGCTTGCAGAGTAAGTATGAAAAACGGTACAGCATAAATACACATTTTCTAATGTTATTTCTAGCAGTTTACCCAATCAAACAAAAAAAGTTTTACCACTATTTCCCTGCCCATCTTATAAACCTACAGATCTCAAGCCTGAAATTGCACACAGTAACAAAACCAAAGAAATTACAAGTTACCCAGATGAATTTTAAATGACACTGGTATCATTCATGCCAATACTGTTAGATATCTAGAATTATACAGCCTATAAAATAATTACAATCAAGACAAGTGGGTTATTACTAGGAGTACCGATTCCGATTCACTTTGTCTCAGCACCACTGGGGAACCTACATTCACAAGAATACGATTTTAACAAAATACCTTAACAATGATTGTGAAGTCAAATCTCTGATGTATTCCTGACATTTACATAACTGTCCACATAACTGTCTGATAACAATATTGCCCACATATTACGGTGGGTAATATTGTTGAAACGTAATGTATGAAACAATTCTTCCTACACAGACACAACTACAACATATGAATACAGGGGACCAAAAAAAACAATATGGTCCCCCTGTGAGGTTCATCCAGTATAAATTGCAACAAAAAAGCAACCGTCTCATTCATGCCTCTGAATTGAACTTTTCATCAAATACCTATCAAATTCTCTCTTGAATTTGCTGACTCAATATCCCTCCACGACCACAGCGGGTACACACTATCGTCATAGCAACAGTTCCTAAGAGTCTTTTGTTCAGACAATCCAGGGAACCGCGACTGCTGCGAATCACCATCAAATAGTTTCTAGCAAAGTGCTGCTCCCCTTTATCAAACAGACAAGCAAACTGTTGCTTTGTATATTGGCTGCCGCCAAGAGGTCCCCACTGTTGGTCACCATATGCAAGACTCCACAATATAAATCACTATTTCAGTTAATTGCTTGCAGACGCATCCTTTGCCTCCTTCAGAACGTTCACATAAACCAAATATTCAATTAAAAGCTTCATCTTTTCACAGATTTTAAAAAGCTTTACTACTATTTTAGATGAGAATGGCCACCGAGCTGTAGATTCTGACAGATCAGTGACTGATGACTCTGCTAACTCCTAAATTTTATGATGACAATAGAGGCAGCGAGGGGTCATGTGAGTCTGTTTTTTTTGGGGGGATATAGTAGAGGCAGAGATAGAATTGGATATTATCCACACAGACCAGGGGGAGCGTTCCCAATCCACAGCACCGACAATGCCCTTGTTAAAGTCACCAACTATATTCTCTCTATTTGTGACCAGGGCTCCCTTTGCTCTTTGTTCGAGATGTCTCTGTCTGCCACCTTTGACAACATCGACCATTCCATGCTTCTCCACCAGCCTTCCTCCTTTCTCTACCTCCACAGTTCTATCCTGGTTTAATTCTTACCTAACCCAGTATTTTCATTTAGTCTCTCTCACTGATGTCTTTCCTGCCCCCTACAGTGTCCTGTGGTGTTCCTCAGTGCTCTATCTTTAGTCCTCCTTTTTACTATTCCGGGTAAAAATATTACTCCTAAGTTTCTCTTTCACTCTTCTTGAGGTTATCTTATAAACTATGTCCCCTACTTACTGACTCCCTTATCAATGGAAATAATTCTTTATTTGCTCATGATTTTATACACCTCAATCAAGGTCCGACTCAACCTTCTCTGCTCCAATGAAAACAGGCCCAGCCTATATAAATGAAGGTGCTATATAAATGTAATTGTTGTTATTGTTTTAGATTGCTAAATGTGGCTGGATCAAATACTGGCTAAACAAATTCAGGATTAAGTTCCCAGATTAATCAAACAGTATTTTTTTAAATAGATTTAAAAAATATATTTTTAAAGGAGCTGTTTCATAAAGACAGCAATCACCAGTGGGAATGAAATAAAAGAGTTGCAGCTTCCGTGAGTGAGCCAAGGAGAATGAAAAGCAGCGCACATCAGTGTGTGTGTTGTGAGTAACCAGTTGTGCCTGGAAAAAAGATGCGGTGGTGTGCAGCACAGGGGTGTACTGCTGGCACAAGGTGCTACAGAATGAATTCCACATGTGTGCTTGTATTAAATTAGGTCATAAAAAACACTTCGTAGTATAATTGATCTTAAAGTCAAGCTTTCCAGAGTCAAATCCTTCTGTTCATCTAGGATGCTTTTTTGCATGCAAAAATCCCCATTGTGTTAGCTTGCACAAATGAAAACCACTACAATAATATCACAAACTCCTTCCCTTAAACTACAGCAACTATTAACAGAAGAATCAGCAACCCCTCATTTCAGTAAAAAGGAGTAATTGGAAGATAAATACTTACATGAACCAGCTGAGAAAATTCAGTTACCAAATTGTTAAGCTCAATTAAGTTCTGAAAAATAAATATGTAAATGAATATTACAAGCTACTCTAAAGGCCCCCGGGACAAACTGTTAAATACAAACCTCAAATCAGCTTGCATTAATCCTTTCCGTTAACCTACATTTTTTTTAATGAAAATGAAGGTAGCAAGATGTATACACTCTCGACATTTAACCACTTGTATCATTTTTGATGTATGTTTTTGAAAAGTGTCTGCATTTTAGACAATAAAAAATAATACAATAATAACATTAATAATAAAGTAATAGATTTAGCTAGTATTCTGATGATTATAACATTTTAGAATTACAGAATAATTTTCATCAACGTGTGCGTATGTATCACTTGCCTTGTAGAATGAACGTCTCAAAGTGTTTTGTAAGGCAGTAGAAAAATATGGAAGAAAGAAGGGGGGAAACTTACGGGAGTTGACCATAAGCAGAGTCAATGATAGACAGTTTAAGAGTGTTTTGTAGGTGGAGAGAGAGGGTGCAGGTAAAGGTATGTAAATCACTTGCCTCTTCCAACATCTCCCAAGACTCTGCAGCATCTTCTTGCTGAGGAATGACTGGCAGTGGCATGTGCATCTGGGCTAGGGGTAAGTCTGAGCTGGTTTCTTGGGAACGAATAAATGTGTCTAGAACAAGAAAAGCCACTTACAGCAAGGATCATACAAGTTCCGGTCACAGCATTTCTCAGTCTTAATGTTTAGCACAAGATCACATTGTCCTCTTTCTTGTTCTTCTGCAAATTATTTCATTCAAGTAGATTTGTCTCCAAGGTTTTGATTTTACAGCAGCAGACAAAGCCAGTTTGTGTACAAATATTGGTTGCTTTATAATTGATAAAACTGTCAGGTCTGGCAAAATAACAATACCACAGTGTTAATCTTAATGTAATCTAAATTATAAATCTTCTTAAACTGGCAAACTCCCCACCCCCCCACCACACACACACACACACCAGCTAAAAGCAACATTTAGGCTCTTGTGAACTGAATCAGGTAGCGAGGAAGTAGCAGAATTACACTGTAGTCAAACAGTAGCCAGGAATCACACTGATATTGAACCTGAACTGAATCTAGGCCCTTGTTCCTCTCAACTCTCCTTTCTCCCCCAATTCCATGCCAAGACCTGCTCTGCCTTCCCCCGCCTCTGCAATATTGCTCGACTCCACCACTGCCTCACCCTTTAGGCCGTCAAAACCCTCATACATGCGTTCATTATATCCGGGCTCAACTATGCCAACACCCTGCTTGGCGGCCTCCCCAACTCTCCCCTCCACAAGCTGCAGATCATCCAGAATTCTGCAGCTCGTGTCCTCTCCCGCACCAGGCTCTGTGACTCCATCACCCCCACCCTCGCCCAACTCCACTGGCTCCCCATTCCCCAGAGGATAGAATTCAAAATCCTCATCCTTACCTTCAAGGCCCACCCACCCCTCCTACCTCTCCAACCTGCTAACCCCTTATCAACTTGTCCACTCTGTCCGCTCAGCAGGCTTGGCCTGCTTCACGTTCCCCACCTGGTCCCCCCATCATCGGTGGTCAGGCCTTCAGCCTCTCTGCCCCCACCCTCTGGAACTCCGTCCCACATACCTTTCGCCTCGCACATTCCCTTGCCTCCTTCAAGGCACACCTCAAGACTTTCTTCTTCGACTGTGCCTTTGGGCACCCTCCTACCCGCACCCTCCCCACCCTCCACCCTAACCAGCTGTCCTCCCAGGGTGAATTTAACAATGAGAGTGATCCTATCTGGATCAGCAGCAGGAAGCTTGCCAGGCATTGCTCTCAATGGCAGGCTAAGTATTTTTAGCTGGTTAAACTCCAATAGATACCCAAACAACATGGCTGACCATAAAAAAACACATATCTTGGGTCCTCAAGCTTTGGCTCTGTCCAACCTCTGGAAGCAGGGTGTGTTCATCCTGAGAGTGTGCACTCCATTCCAGACACAGGGAAAATTTCATGTGAAGGTAGTGTACATATGTGGGATTAATAATAATAAGACTTGCATTTGATACGCCTTCTAGACGTCTCAAAGATCTTCACAAAATATACTGTAAATATACTGAATTGACTGTACTTTTTTTTGTGGGCGAAACGCAGCAGCCAATTGCGCACAGCAGTGTCCCACAAACAGTCATGGATTGAAGTGAACAATTTCTTATTGTTTTTTTTCTTGATGGATTACTATGAGAGGTGTGGAGTAAGGAAACTTGCCCAAGGTTTTACCCTGCCGGGAATCGAACCCGGGTCTCTCGCTAGCGAGGCGAGTCCTCTAACCACTGAGCTACAGCACTCCATGTAGCAATTCCATCTGATTTGCACACTCTTAAGCATCGTGTTGGATTTCTGCAGGTGTCAAGACACTCAACTGAACCAAAAAAGCATTGATATTTTATTTGGGGAACTGTTGGCCAGGAATCCTTTCTCTTTTCGAAAACTGGCAAGGGATCTTTAACATCCACCTTAGTTTTAACATCTCATCTGAAAGACAACGCCTCCAACAATGCAGTGCAACACCAGCACTGCAATGGAGTGCCAGCTGAGACCGTGAGTTCAAAGCCTCAACATGCGGATTGAATTCACAACCTTCTGACTCAGAGGCAAGAGTGCTACCAACTAAGCCAGGAAGTCAGCCTGTGGAAAAGATTGCTAGTTTTAATTGTCGGTGTATGTTAGCTATGGGAGCTATAACGAGTGTATATTATGAAATTCAGGTCAGTTTACACTGGAATTTCATGTGCGATGTATATATCATAGCACAGAAGTAAAAGGATACCATTCTATCTTTCTTGCCATATTATGAATGTACTGCACCAGGAGCTAAACCAGTGCTCAACATAAAGTAAACAATTACTCACAGCTCAAAGATGAAAGATAAAGCAGCTGTAAAAGAGGATAAGTTTCATTTCACATAATTACAATCTTACCGTCCAAGCTGTGGGACTGCAAGAGAGGAGATCCAGGTCCAGGTGGTTGGTCGCCCACATTACACTGGGGATTTGACACTTCTTCAAACTCCGAATGGAGCTTCAGAAACTCTGTCACTGCTGCTGCTGCTTGCTCCTTTACGGGACTCACAATTCTCTCCAAAGCTTGTGAATCTTCCGCTCTTACTCGCAAGAACAACTTTTCCATCTCTTTCATGTTAGCTCGCAGTTGCTATAGGAAAAGGTGAAATGTCACACCCACAACACAATGTCTCCACATTTCATTTTTTGGATAAATATTTGTGCCTATCGCTGCTGGGAAACAGAACTCATTTCCATTTTTAGAATCATAGAAATTACAGCATAGGAGGCCAATCGGCCCATCAAGTCTATGTTAGCTCCTCCACTCAAGAAGCAACATATACTAATGCCAATTCCCTGCTCTTTTTCAGTGATCTCTCATATGCAGTTTAGTTGTAAATCCAGTGTCAGAATTAAGAACCCCCACAATCTGTGTGAAAGTGTCTGCTCCACTTTTGTGAAGGATTTCTGGATTTCAAAACCCAAAGACAAAAGCTGTAGAGCTAGAAAATCTACAATAAAATGTTGTTTATCCACATCTGGATGTTGCACAAAGGCTAGGAGACACCGGGAAAAATATTGCTGTGTGCATGTGTGAAGTTGTTCATGAGGTTTTTAGAAGACTTTGAGCCTGCATATGCACAACGTTGTACACACACCAACAGGAATATTTTTGCCAGTAGTAAAGGCAAGTCCTTGTATTGTTCATTGTGTACAGCTTAGGGATAGGGATAATGTAGAGACAGTTGAAAGAGGAACCAAAAGTTAGAAAGATTCTCAGAGAGAGAGGCAGAAAGAAAGGAAGAAAGAGACACTCAAAGAAAAAGAGAGAAAACGAAAACGACATGAGTGAGAGAGAGAAACGGGTAAAGGAAGAGACACACAATGTGATACCACAGTGATAGTGTGACTTTAGACGGAATCATTTTTTAGTTGATCAGTCCCAATTAGTGCAGATAATCAGCTCTCTCTGTAACAAAATGCTAGGGCTGGGAGTGAATAATATCTATCGCTTTGGTCTCTGTATGCAGACTGTGTAATTGTGCAGAAACAAATGGCCCTCAAAGAGATTCATAAAGAACCAGGAAATCACAGAAGGTTAACAGAGCACGTGGGAAAAAACACAAGAGCAAAAATAGTCAGACCAATCGAAAGCCACGAGACAAAGTGAGGCAGCAGCTGAATGCATACAGTGGTTAATCTCACAGTTGGTAATAATGAATCTCTTTGGTCACAACAGGTATTCTGCCGCTCATCACTGCATAAGCTGAAACGTGATAATTAGTGTCTCTATTTAATCAGCTTCACGTGGATGTGTTACTCTAAACCTCACAAAGTTAAGAAACATTGGATGCTGATAAATGAAGGCAATTATTTCAAATTTGAGTGTTTTTCTCGCTTACGTTTGTCACAAGGACATATAACTTCCTACTGGAGCAAATCTTACAATGTTACAAAATATATCCTTCGCCAAATGGCTCATGCGCAGGGCCAATAGAAAATTGCGGAAATATTTGCCCAAAATTCAGGGGAAATTTGACAAATTTGAGGAGAAATTGCGGGGTGTTGGTTGGTGCTATTCAGAAGTACATTTTACTGCCAACCTACATTTTTTCACTTTATTGATAAGAAATGAACATGAAAAAATAACACGTATTAGATTGTTGTAAGAAAAATGATAAGTACTCTTAACAAAAACTGGGTGACCCACGGGGCTTGGGGTGTGGGGGATTAGTTCTGATTGAAGAACTCCAGGAGGTCACCACCTCATGCCTCCCGGCTCCGCCATTGCCCACAGACCCAGAGATAGGTAACAATCAAACCAAACGATCGGGTGTACAAAATATCAACTTGAGAAATGATCAACTAGTGACTATCTTCCTTGGGAGGAGGTAAGCTGAACTGGATCCAAAGTGACATGTTTGGCAAAGGAATGTTAGATTTGAGCTCACCATCTATGGCAGTCTCAGTTGCCCAATTCCTGAGCCAGACAGGTCTGCAGTATTCCAGGGCACTGCCGATGACAGCCCAGCCAGCCGAGATCATCAAGAGAACTTGGAAGGGCAGACCAGTCACTGGGAGCAGACTCTTCCCATTCAGCTCCCGTTAATCCTGCAAGCTAAAGCCCTCACAATGAGGATGTCCTAGCTGGGTAAGCTCTCTCAATGGCAAGCTATGCATTTTTAACTGGTTAGACTCCAGCAGTACCCCAATCCACACTCTGAGGTACCCAAACCTAATATTCTCTTGTTAGGTAAACAGAATGAGCCCCTCCAGGGAGAGAGTGCACATAAATATCTCGGAAATTTCCAATGTATAAATGGGATACATGGAACTTTCTGTTTGGTTTGGATTCTCTTAAGCATGTGATGGGCTTCCGCATGTGCTTGACCAGAAAAAAAATGAGAAATGATTGTACAATAGCCTTTAAATGAGTTATAGATGATACATATCACATTTGTCTTTTCTTTTTAATTTGCTTATTATTGTAATTCTCTTTAGTAAAGCTCTTTGAACTTCCTGAACTAGACCAGAATATTCATGATTTTAGCTATGCTTGTTGAATTTAATTTCCAGAAACAAAAGCAGATTTTATATTTCTCAAGTTTGTTTATACATTCCAAACCTCAGACTAACACAATATCAAATACTAGCACTCACATCACTATCAGCATAAGAAAACCATGAAGTAAACAAATGTATTTACTCCAGTTCCTCTCACAGTTGCGAATGTTTATTTTAGTTAAAGCAAGAGAGAACTTACTGCCATCTAAATGTTTGCAAATGAATGACCTCATACCTATGATTTCAAAGTTAAAAAGGTTGTCTGAATTACATCTAATAATCTCCTTGCAACATTAGTACAGAGTAGGTTACTGCAAGAGGTTTTGATAAGACGTTTTTAGAAAAAAATGCATTTTTGTACCCATGTTTACCTATAAAAAATCACTACACTTGACAGTAATCATCCGTAGAGCACTTTGACATATTTCAATAGTATAGGCGACCTAACAAGTGCTAGAGATACAACTTATATTTTATACAATGTAGTGTCAGGAGGAAGTCTCAAAGCACTTTACATAGCTGGCTGGGCACCTGGGATGGGGGGTGGGGGGAGGTTGAGTTGAAGGAGGGGGAGAGGAGAAGATGACCGAGAGTGCAGTCAAAGGTCTTAAGGCGTTTTTTAAAAAGTGGGGAAGGAGGGGTGAGTTGCAGAGGCTCTGACATAGAGATCCAGAAAGTGAAGTGGAGTGGCTGAAGGCTTGTCACTAATGCTGAGGCAGCTCAAAGATTATTATTACACACCTCAAGCACTTTACAATAAATTACTGTCCCGTAGAATGATTGTCTTTGTAGGTAAGCATTTTGCGCACTCCAAGTCCCATGAACATCCATGAGGTGAACAACCAATATATCAAGACAATTGTTGGCAGATTTTAATAAAAGGCTTCCACTGCTGTGCAATTCTCTTATTGTCTTGAGTTCTGTACTATACAGTGCTTTGATGAACATACCCATAAAACCATCTAACAAGTTAAAATCAAAATTTAGAACCTTCACAACAAAAGATACAACATCTAAACCTGTGTTGAATGCTACAATTCCTCTCCACCAAAGCCTGTAAAATTACATTAAAAGAAGCTGCAGTTATCACAATGCTTTTTCCTAACAAGATTCCTCTCACCCTGATCTCTCTCAGCTGTAATGGATGGTTTATTCTTCAACTCTTTTCCCAGAAGAGTTCCAGAAATTAGGGATGTAGAATGTGAAGGCTTAGCCATTGATGGTAGCCAGAGAGGATGGAGGACATGCAGGAAGCCCGAGTTTGGAAAAGGTCAATGGTGGGGTGGGGGGGGACAGACAGAAGATTGGAGACAGGTGCTACACATGGAGGGATTTATAGGTGAGGATCTTGAAACTGATCCATTGGGAGACTGGGAGTCAATAGAGTATGCCAAGCACTGGGATGAAGGGCATACACTGTGGGCATACACTGGTGTGGGTGAAGATAGGGGTGGCAGAGTTTTGGATGAGTTGTAGCTTATGAATGGTGGAGCTAGGGAGACCATTAGTCATCTATCTTGTTCCCTCTTGAAAGCTAATAAGTAGCACTGAGAGTCACCTAAAGATATACAGGGTTTATTTAAATCATGCATCTCTTTTAAGGTAATCATCTTGGTAATTTGATATCAACAATTATTTTTGAAAATTATTTAATAAGGTAACAATACTATAGGTACAACTGGACAGCAAATCATGTGGTGATCAGGGTATTGTATCATAGAATTTAATAAAGGGAATATATATTTGCCTAGATTTGGATACACTGGAGATTTCTCTTTTTACAGTGTCAGTAATACTGAGAAATGTCTTCCTTCAATGGAAAACTGATGGGAACAGATATTTTATAATTTTAACTGTACTATTTTAAATTTAAAAAATGAAACATGAAATCTAGTTACTTTTAGCTACTCATTTATATTTTATAGTACATAACCAGTTTAGAATACAAGGGGCGGGAAAGGTTTTCATATCATGTACCCGTAACATAATTTGTAAATCAGGTCAAAGATGAATTTGAGGGAGTGTATCATCAATGTGTCAGCAATTGTGAATCCGTCTTTCAGAAGGTAACAATGGAACAAGGTTCAAATTTATTCTTAGATAAGACCATAAGACTATAAGACGTAGGAGCAGGAGTAGGCCATTCGGCCCCTCAAGCCTGCCCCGCCATTTAATAAGATCATGGCTGATCTTCTAACCTAATTCCATTTACCCGCCCTATCCCCATATTCCTTAATCCCTCTATCCTTTAGAAATCTATCAACCTCAGTCTTGAGTATGTTCAAGGACTGAGCATCCACAGCCTTCTGGGGTAGAGAGTTCCACAAATTCACTACCCTCTGAGTGAAGAAATCTTTCCTCAACTCAGTTCGAAAAGGCTGACCCTTAATCTTGAGACTATGACCCCTAGTTATAGATTCTCCATCCAGGGGCAAGTCTCATGGCATCTACCTGTCAAGACCCTTAAGAATCTTATAGGTTTCTATAAGATCACCTCTAATTCTTCTATATTCCTGAGAATATGGGCCTAATTTACTCAACCTCTCCTCATAGGTCAACCTCCTCATCCCAGGAACCAACCTAGTG